TGCATCTGTATACTTCACAGCTCAAGGGAAGACTGAAAGCAGTCTTTCAATTGCTTGGGTTTTTTCGATATTTTCTGTCACTTCATGTTTTACATACAGGAAATGTTTTCCTAATTTAAGTTTAACACCTGAAGCATTGGTAATATGTTTTGTTGACATGATGTTAAAAATAAGGAGGCCATTCAATGATAAATATCAAGGGAAGTGCCTTTGTTGTAGTGAAAATTATTTTGGAAAATGAAAAAAAATGCTTAATTGTAGCAAATATTCATAAATCAAGTGTTCACACAGAGGTAGTGGGTGTCTAGAATGGAAAATCTTTTTTGCCAGTTACAGAACAAAAAGTCCTGACTAGATTATTTTCAGAACATACCTTTACATTTTGTACATATTGTACAATATTCACAATTGTTATATTCTAAATAATTACGGTTAATAATGCTAAAATTGTATCATATTCACAGGGTTATTAGTAAGCTTTTTCTAATTTGGCATCTAGTTAAGATGCGATGAATACTATTTGCATTTTAAAAGGGGATACAGTACATAGTTATAAAATAAACACCATCAATGCAAAACACTACAAATAATAATATGAAATGGTTCTGTCTAGTATTTTGATATTTCACAGTGTGTATGGCCTTTTTAAAGTACATTTAAATCAAATCTGGCTGTCATAACAAATGAGTTTGACATTCCTGGTCCAGACAATGAATCTTTGGTTCTGTAAAAGAAAAGCCACTCACTCGACTTTAAATTATGTAGGAGTAAAAATAAATAACCAACACACACAAAAGCAATTTGTGAAATGAAATTATAACTGAGAGAAGGAATTGTGATGTCTGAATAGATTTGCTGTTTTTCAAAAGACAATTTATTTTCCCCGATGAATTTTATATTAAATGATCCTGGAAATCCAAATGAAATGTCTGTGAATGCATTTTACATCTATACTGTAAATATAGTACAATACACATTTGCATTAATCCATATTACAGAGTACATATTAACATAATTTATAGTGTATATAATTAGAAATTATCTTTAATTAATTTAGATCAATAAAGGCCTTGTGCTACATATTATCTACAGTGCAAGTTTGTGAATAACCCGGCTTTAGGTACAGAATTAGCAGACTGCATCTGTTTTTCCCATTAATCTTGCCAAGCTTCATAACTGCTGGTGAGAAGCAGCTTAACGCTGCCATCACCATTCTTGTCATTAAGGATAGTTATAACTGAGCTATGTCTTGTGTTGTTTTCACTTGATGTAATATACATTCATACCCTGGTATAAGGACATGAATTTGTACCTTGTAATTCATTATAAGAACAACATTTCACTAATCTGAATTTTGAAGTTTGAAAGTGACCGACTTTGGCCACCGAACAGCTGCTTGTTTCTGCGTGGGTTCAAGGCATTGTGGTTAAGGACGCAGTGAGGCAGCAGTGCTTTGTTTACAATCACAATGAAAACTTGGGGTCTCATTTTCAAAACATTTTTTTTAGTTGTTTTGGAGTTGCTGTTCATTATGGGGTCTTTAGGAAGAGATAAAGATTCTTTAGCGTAATAGTCAACAACAGTATGCACATCATTCTAGCCGATCGCTTGGATAGAGATCTATTACGAAAGAATGAAAAGTGTAAATATATTATCATTAATTATTTTACACATACAATAGTTTTCTTATTTCTTATTTGTCACTAAGCTTGCTATAATAGTCTATATGGTATTATATGTTTAGGATGGTTTTTGAGTGAACTTGTCTTCGGTTTGGAATGGGGTAGAATTTTCCCCAAAAGAAATAATGGAATTTTTATTTCTGGTTCACGATCTCCTGCCTTCCGAACAGATTTTCAGGAACAAATTAGGTTTGGATACTGGGAAATAAGTTTATTTTATACCATAAAACAAATTTTGCCCCATATATGCACGTAAATGCTTTCTTCCAAATTCCAAGCAGGATGTGATGTTTTCTCAGTAATACTTTCTTCTTGCCACTTGCCACTCTAACATATTAGCCAGCTTTAACTCATGGACATTTTCTCCCATCTCAGCCACTGGACTGTACCGATCTCTCTGCCAAGGCACCACTGGTCTCACAGTGAAAGCCCTATCCAGTTTCCTTCTTGCCCAGCTGCCCAGTTACAGTAGGAAGGACAACCTGATCTAAGCAGTTACAGCTTCCATTTCTTAATGATCGAGTTCCCCTTTCTCAAGGGGATATTGTCTTTGCATTTGCAGATGAATCTCCTTAGTATCCAAAGTTGAATCTTTGCTTGAAATTTTTATTTACTTATTCTAAAATCATGTGAAAACCTATTATTGCATGGAGACAGAGGCCACTTAACTTATTTTGTGACTCGTTAAAGTAATTCTGTACACCTTCTATAATGGCTTCTCCATTTTTATTTATATAAAATGTCTTTATACTTCTTTCTTTTTATTTTGTTTTGAATGCGTAGAGTAGGCTGTGCATGTAGCAAGAAATGATTGCTACTTCATAGTGTGATGACTATAAGCTTTAAAGGAACAAAATGTAAAAACTGTGCAAGGCACCCTGAAATGTACTTGGCAGCATGACCATTATCTTGCTCACAAGAAATAATCTATCGTACTGAAATTAAATGTGATACATATTACACTGAAAGTCATTGGAACTTTGTTGAAAAATCAGGACATTTAAAAGTGCGAAAGAAAACATAGCAACAATACAGTAAAGGAAATGGATCATTACCCTGCCAGAAGGAAGGCTGCAGGACTCCAGTGCAGTTTCAACACGCTTTCTATCTGCAGAAAACATCCGAAAGATGCTGTAGAAAAGGAGTAAGCCCTGTTAATAATCCTACCAATCTGTCTTTCAATCTTCATAATTCACTGTTACTAAATACATGCTGGGCCAAAAAGACCCTGATAAAAAACTATCTTAATTTCTCCAAATAAGTTGAGCAATTGAAAATAAAGGTTTTGAGTTATATTTGCCCCTTTAATTACCATTTTTAAATTTCCACCCCACTTTTTATGGTATTCAATGCAATTTATGAACATTTGTCTGCACAGTTTATTGTATGTTATGAAGAACTCAATAACTGAGGATGAATAAATTAAGAATATGACAGCATAATTAATCATTTTATACAGTGTCAAAGTAATTTAAATATGTTAGTAAACTATTTAAGACTGTGATAATTTACAGTTATGTATGTCTTTAAAGTAACTATATGTGACACAAATAGTTGGTACGTAGAAGTAAATGAACTAAGTACTAAGCATGTGACAATACTGTTTACAATGTCTTATTTCGCTATAACAAAACATCAAGCTAGTTTACTAGTTTTATGGTGGAATACATCATATGAGGTCAATGACTTGATAAACAGGGGCAGCAGGGTAAACATTATTAGTGAAACAACATTTGCATTGTTTTTGTTTTCCCACAAGGCAGTTTTTTTATTTATTCAATCTCCTTTGTTTAACACATAAACCTCAAAGTAAATAAACAAAATATCTTTATATTGAGAAAGTAGGACAATTGTGAGCAATGTCAAAAACTACAATTAAATATTCTATTAGTATAAATCAAGTATAACACAGCTGTCAGCATAAATAAATCAGGATCCTGGAATCCAAGTTGAAAGCAGGTATAAAAAGAATTAATTAAGTGTCTAATATGTTGTGAGGACCATGCACCTGTTTTTTATGATATTTTGAATAGATCAACGCAAAAATTGTAGACTGGTGTTTAAAAATGGCCAAACGTTTAGGACAAAGTACAACATCAATTCAACCATTACATTTTAAACACTTAAAAGAAGTTCAAATTGAAATTTGACCAGTTAAACATTTTATCACTGTTTTCACCACAGAAATCTGAAGCATGTGTATAAATATTTTGTTGCTAAAGATTGCATATCTGTATAACCCAACCATTGTCCACAATACAGATTTATATATTTATGTGAGGAAATCAAACCAAGTTCAGATTAATTCCACTCAACTCAATACAAATAATAATCGCTACTTACACACTGTTGTTTAGATTAAGAAGTTTGATTATGTGGTTGGCCAGATTTATAATTTCCTATCCCAATTACAATGTCAAAAGGCATCAAGAGTTACAAATACATTTTCTGTAATATAAACATAAATTAAGCTGAATCATCTTTATTGCATCAACTCACAAAAGCAAATATCTTCTCAAGCATACAGAGCACAACTTACTTCTTTACAGGAATACGTCCCTCTGGGGTTAACTGAAGTTTAAGTCGTGAATATCTGTTAAAAGAAAAAAAAATGTTATTTAAAAATTAAGTTTTCCAGAATGTAATTAAATAAATGACAGAAACTTATAACTTAAGATCTTTACGTTTTTTTTATAGGCTCTTAATACATTGCTTATCACTCACGAGCACACATGTACTTCTTATATATTGACTATACTGTATACTGTACCTGTATGCATTATATAGCATGTTAGGTATTGGAGGCCAAAAAATGAGAGATAAAGTAAACACAATATGTCTCAAAGTATTTTAAGACACAAACTGATTTTAACACAATTTGAGGATTTAATCATTAATTAAAGATACTTTGAAATCAGGAGCCAATTTTCCTGTACATTCATAGTTTTGAATTATTTCCTAAATCATTATCTCAACCTCATGATACTGTAGAGCATTTAATTGTAGTATATATTGAGATGTTTTAGAGATATCTTAATATTATGATTATATGCAAACCTACTTAATAAAATACATAAATGCATTCTCAGAAATTTTAAAACCGTGTTAAATTATTTTAGATAATCAGATAATTTAGATAAATAGATAAACTGTAGATGAATAGAAATAAATCCACACTTTTCCTGAGGATTTCTCAGATTCATGAGATTGATATCTCTAAATGACTTTCTATTAATTTCAAAGTTACTGAAAGATACCTAAAAATGGCATACAGAGTCCTTGGGGATAACCTGTTATTCATTTAAGTTTTATTGCAATATCTTAAGAAAAACATCCTAAGATTTGTTATACAGTATCTCTAGTTTTAAGTAAAATGGATCATTTCATTATTTCATTTGAGTTACATCAAAATATGCTGATGTACAATGAAAACATTAAAACATAGACACAATGGTGTATTGACATTTTAAATGGCGACAGATATATTGATTGTTTAATATTAGTAATATTGTAATAATGTCCAATGGCATGACAAAATCCTAAGCATCATTTCGTAAAAATATCAGGTGTTAGGTATTTAGCAAAATTAGGTGAGTGAGAATCTGTACGAATAATTATTTAAAAATGAATTATTTTAATTAACACACAGAAAGCAAAAGATAACAGCACTGTTTGTTCCTCTAATAAAGATCACATGGTTGTTATCAGCACGACTAAAGCTCACCTAGCTGTTAAATACCATAAATTGCCCACTGGACAAGATATCTTTAGCAGATCACATCAGGGAAACCTGGAAACTGACAGACTACATTCTGGAAGGCAAAGAGTCTCCATACCAACACATTATCCTGAGACTGACCATCATATCTGCTTGATCCATTTATTTAACTGTGTCAAACTGTAGTGACCAGAACACCAGAACCTCTAGGATGAACTAGCCGGGAACATCTGCAGAATGGCTGTAGCTCAGTGTCTGCATGAAAATAATCAGTATGTTTGGAGGCTGTTTAGGCTAACATGTTGAAAGCTGACATAACAACAAGCTGAGTAGTTAAACAGAAGTTCAGGAGAAAGTAGAATTGTAATGTTGTACTTCACTCTCTTGCACATATTTTGGCAGTTGAGCACTTTTTTGCACACATCTTTTGTACTCCTTCCTCCACCCTATCTTCGCAGCCTCCCTAGTTTATGTTTGGCAAGTGAGATGGGTTTTGTCAGCAATTACCTTACGGTCAAGATTATTTCCTTAGGCACGTTAATTGTAAATATTAATATGTTAAGCATGAAAGCCCTTTATATTTTGTTATATTGTTCATTCAAATTTGACTGAACAGTCTTTTGTACACCTGAGATCATTTGATGTGATGGCACAGAGAACTGTGCAATGTTTTGCCTTTTTGCACTTGACAGGGAAAGACAACATGTGTGGAAATGTTTTGTTGAGATTTATGCTTAATGTCATGTTAATCAAACCAACCAATTAGGCAGTGCACGTACAGTAGTAACTTGGGGTGCAATCTTGTAATACAAAAAAATGATTTTGTTACTTTATTTAGGGCTATTTTACTGTTCATCCATACACCAATAAAGGCCTTGAACAAACAGCTTTTACATTCTTGTGTACCAATCTGAAAGTGTTTCCCACAGGACTACACAAGATCACATAGGGCTAGGATAATAATACAACATGATATGGAAACCATTGGTCAAGTGGTATTTCTGCACAGAAAGAGTGACACAGCTATGTTCTCTCCAGAGGCTGATCGGGTTCGTGCGTGAACACTTCCAAAATTGCGTTAATACTCAGAGAAGTCATACATTATACTACATCTAAAATGTTTTACATCTGTGTGTTGTATATCATTGCTGAAAAGATGATACGTTGATCTGGATTTTCATTTGTAATTTCTATGATTCTGCTTGCAATCTGCATAATGTATCTGTAATTAGCTGTCATATCTTTGTACTACAGTTCTTTTAAATTCTTTAAACCTTCTTTATCATTTACATCAGTATATTTCAGATACTTTTAAATAAAAAAATGAAATGCTTCTCTAATTTCTTTAGACTTCTTCAGAACATCTTCAATACAATGCTAAATATAATAATGATAAAAAATCATTAAACACAGTTATTTCCCTTTATTAGAAGGAAATAAACCGGAAGAATGCGGGTTCCTATCCAGCGGCCGGGAGAGGACCCCTGAACAAGGCCCTTAACTCAACTGCTCCAGGGCTGACTGTCTGACCTTGTGTTCTGACCCCAAGCTTCTCTCCCTGTCTGTGTGTCTCATGGAGAGCAAGTTGGAATATGTGAAAAGACAAATTCCTAATACAAGAAATTGTATATGACCAATAAAGTGATCTTATCTTATCTTATTACTTCTCTGAAAAATAATGTCATGTTTTTGTCTTTGAGATTCATTTTGGGAATATAAGTCCTTTTTTCACAAGACAATCTGAAATAAGCAAGATGCTATAGGAAAGGACTAAAGCCAGGAAAAATACAATAGTAAGGATAAAAATGCAACAAGTTCATTTGGTCAGTACTTTAATTTAAGTGGCTGTTCAAAAATAATTAATGCAGATTATTCACTCAACCTTCTAAATTTGTTGTCTGCTCAGAGCACAGTCAAAACAATAAAATTTAATTGACCTACAATGACTGCCTCATCTAGTACTCTCAGGTTTAAAAACAATGCCACTAAATTTAATGGTATTGCAGAAAACATAGCAAATTTAAGAGTTATACATTGGATTCTCAGTCTCAATCTAGAATATTATAGGAAAGCTACCTTTTGAAAGTTAAAGAAAATATTTTTAGTTTGCATGTCTTCTGATCAACAAGATCAAATATGATAGTAAATTATATTACATATTTACATCACATACAGATGCAGCCATTCAAAACAAGCGGGGTATGCTGCGGTATAACACGGTGGGCATGTCGCAGTATACAGCATCATACCGTATGCAAATTAGATTATGTTAATAGTATCCGGAATCACCTTGTAAAACAGCCAGGTGGAGCTAATAAAGGTACCTCTCCTGTACAGCATTTGAGCTGTCACCAGAAAACGTCGGTTTCGAATCCCGATCACTGCTGAGGGACAATCTTTATTCAATTAAGAATTTAAGTTGTATACTCTTTAGACTTTTA